CCTTCCCCTTCACCCGCTCGTAAAATCACGCGTTCTCGGTAGCATCGAGGAGGACTTCTCAGGACCGAAAAGAACTGAGGATTCGAAAGGTCTCTGGAAAAGTACGTCGCAGAACTGATTAGGACTTACCAGGTCCATCTAGGTCTGGAGAGATCTTGAAAGACCTGTGTACGTCCAATCAGAACCAAATCCTCGACTCGGGATGCCTAGGACTTTTATTTTAGAATTACATTACAGTTATTCTAAGCTCAAACGTCATCACTGAATCATGTCTTTTATTCACCCTTTTTCACACATCACAATTGATTCAATATCATTGGTTGATTTCAATTGAAAAACAGGGATAATGTTAACAACATTTGGTTGAATTTTTCGAAAAAAGACTTTGAATTCGATTTAAGGGGAAAAAGATGATGGAATTTCAAGTTTTTCTATGAAAATTAAAGTAAAGTGCTAATTTTTTAGTGCCAGAAAGACGGAAAGTCCATACTTGAGATGACTTTTGAAGTGAAAATGCACATCTCGACGTTTCATGACATTCTAAGTTATCTCCAGGCAAAATTACAGAATCGAAATATCGACCGATTACAAAGTTTCCATGCGGAATAAAAATGAGAACCCATTCGAAAACAAATTGCTAATTTATTAGCAACAATACCTATACTCATTTATAAAAAATATTATCCACTTGTTTCATACACTGATCCTTAGCCACATTATCAGTGCTTTGATCGTTTCCTCCGTACGAATTATCAATTCCCCTCTCTCCCCTTTCCAAAAATGGCCCTCGTCAATTTATCAGCATTCATCAACATTGTCAACCAATATCAATTAATTTTTCAACAGATTGAATTATCCCACAGCAGTAAGCCCCAACATAACCCAAATTTATCATAAATTCACACGGACATTGTATCGAGAGAAAATTGAGTAGATGGTCATGAGTTTTCAAGTTGAGGTCTATATCTGCCCCTCCTCGTTCATCGTGTAACTTCATTAAGTTAATGGCATAATAACCACCTGCGGTGTCGCAAATGTATATACATAGGTGCCCTCCGCGTATATAGAGTAAAAGAGGGAGATAGAGCGCTTCGTGCGCCGATATTGAGAACATGGCAATGTCTGTAAATAGACTAAGAGGACTAGAAGCTCACCAGCCGAAAACCCCCGCACGGGTAAAATCGATCGATTTCTCATTAATATGTATGAGATCTTCAGGTTTGCGTATATAATGAGAGAGGCTCTGTGCTCTAGGAAACTCTCGCTAAGAGACTTGGGATATAACTTGCTGGTTTCGGGCGCAGTACTGCTATAAATGACCAGCAATTAATGATTGTGAAAGTTTAAAACGTAGAATTACGAGGGAAAAAAAAACATTGGGACAAGGAGGGGAAAGAAAAATAGAGGATGGGGGGATAGCGAGGGGCGGGGGCATAGGGGGTAGGGGGTAAAGTGTGTGGGAAGGACGATCGATGGACCTCATGAATATGTATGGCCTTCTCGTTATCTTTCGGGGGAAAAGACGGAACTGCGGGAAAACTTTGGTGGAAAAGTTTTTCCTTCCGTCTTCAACTTTCTTTTTACCCATTTTTTTTACAGCCTCTCTCGAATAGACTAAAGTAGTTGGCAACGATAATAAATAATCTGCGGCTTATTCGCGTTAAACTTTTCAATGCTTGTGACACCGGGGACTTTTCCAAGTGAGTTAACTTTCATAATTGCGGCGGGAATCTAATAAAAGTGAAAAATGAATTGTTATTGATTCTGAGGAGATTAAGTGGGAATTTCACTGCCCTATGGGAAATTTCTTTGTCATTTCCGATACATTTTTTGAGAATTTTCATTATTTGCCAAATGACAACTCCACTGAAATGTAAAGGAATTTCATAATTGGAAATTCGTAATTTAATTGATAAATCAATGAATTGTGATTGTTTTGAATAATTAAATAATTGCAAAATATCCGGAGACCTGGAATGAAATGAAGTTTAATTAAATTGAAGCTCTCATACGGAGAGAGAATTTCGAGAAAAATTATCTAGAAAATCTCGCTCTTTATGATCCATACAATCCGAATATGCAATTGTTCGGTAATCAGTCGGTGGAATTGATTCATTTATTATTCTCAAATGTAGGTATTGTTGAGCTCCATCCACCAACGTTAATTAAACTTAATTCATTTAATAATGTTTAAAATTTTAACTTTTTCCAAAAATGTTATGATGATTTCAACGTGGCTTATGTAGACGACAAACCTGTGAAATGAAAGGCCGATAAAAAAACAATTTCAATACCTATAAAACAGTTGAATGAAAATATAAACACCAACATGTGAATAGGAAATGTAGCTCCTGAGATAAATGCCACGTAGTTATGACGAGAATGCTAACCTGTGAAGCAACAAAGGCGTGAGGGGAGTGAGATATATTTGCGGTACTATAGTACTGTAAAACAACAATCGGTTGTCTCTTTATATTATAAAAATCCAAATCGACTTCTGGTGATGAAAATTTCGTACTCGAAATTCAGATTCCAAAATTAAGGGTCTCAAGGCTCAAAATAATGTTCATGGGGTTCAGAATAAAAGTCATCAGGGTCAGAATAAGGGTCACGAGGGTCAGATTAAAGGTCACGAGGGGAATAATGAGGGTCACGAAAGTCAAAGTAAGGGTCACGAAGGTCAGAATCAAGGTACAAGGTCAGGGTCAAGTTGAGGGGCTGATTCAAGGTCATGAGGGTGAGATTAAGGGCAATAAGGCTCAGAATAAGAGTCACGAGGCTCAAAATAACGGTCAAGAGGATCAGAATCAGGGTCATAAGGGTCACGAGGGTTAGATTAAATGTCAGATAAGTCAGATTAAGGGTCACCAGGGTCCGATTAAGGGCCACAAGGGTCAGAGTAGGGATTATGGGGATCAGATGGTAGTTGGCGAGTGGAGCGATCTGGTAGCGCAGCCCCCTAGTATGAAATAAAGGAACAATAAGAATCATGATTATGCTAACATTCAGCTAAGTTGAAAATCTGACACAATTGTTTAAAAATAAATCTCATTGAATTTAATAACATAAAGTAAGCAATGGATTGTAGACCATAGAAGAAAATGATGTGCAAAATAACCATTCGGAAGCATATTGCTAATTTATTAGCAATAATAACTATACACTCTAAAAAAAGATTACTTCTGATAAGTAGGAAAACTACTTGTATTCAGTACCGAGGGGTTTCTGGAGAAAAGGTAATTTTTTTACTTGGTTCAAGTCGAAAATCGACTGAATACAAGTTTTATGCTCCAAGTACAATTGGTACTGGTGACAAGTACCAACTGTACTCATCATCAGTACTAAAAGTACGTGTACTGAGTACCGAGCTGTACTTCTCAAAAGTAGAAAAAATACTCGAGACAAGTAGTAATAGCACTCAAATCCAGTACTAATGGATTTTCGCGGAATATTACAGTAAAATTTATCATACACTAGAGATCGCTGAAAAACGAAGAATTAATGCAAATAAAATTATTGTTTATTGTTCATTTGCCCCTCAAACGCTTGAAAATTGAAATGTAGTCCAATGTAATAAATTCTCGAGCTACAGAGATTTTTTTTTCAAAATTTTTCAAAAGATGTGTAGAATAACAATTACCAATTAATTTTTCCAAATTTAATTTCCAAATAGTCCTTTTTTTAATAACAAAAAATGTAATATTCATGCGAAATAGCCAGTAAAATGATCCTCAAAATAATTGTTATATTTTATATTGAAAAAAAAATTGAAGTATTAATCTTTTGAGCTATCTTGTATAAAAATTGCAATTTCGTTATGCGACAAAGAATAAAATTGCCTATTTAGAAGTCGAATTCAAAAAAATTATCTCGTAATTGTTATTCTACACATCTGTTTAAAAATTTTGAAGAAAAAATACGTCCGTAGGTCAAAAATTGAGTACACTGTGCTATTTTTCTTCATTTTCAAGGTCTTGGGGGCAAATCAACAAGAAATAATCGTTTTTTTCCCCACTTATTCTTCGTCTTTCAACATATATAAATAATCGATCATCAATGTGTAATAAATCTTACTGCAATATCTCGCGATTTTGAAACTCATCGTAACCTCCCCTTGATGAAATTTGTTAATTGTCATCTGAGAATGATAATGATAATGAGAATGATAATTAATGATATGAAATTCCTCAACAAAATAACCAACCAAAAGTACTGGAATCAAGTCATAAAAGTACTCGCGAGAAGTAGAAAAATTACTTGCTCCAAGCATCAAAGGTACTTGTGAGAAGTAAGAAAAATACTGACAGGAAGTAATAAAAGTACTTCCTCCTAGTACTTTTCCTACTTGCTTAGTAAATATTGTACTTCACCCTAGGACATGAAAAGTACTTGGGACAAGTAGTTTCCCAACTTTTCACAAGAAAACTTCTCCCAAGTAGAATTCAGTACTAGTGAGTAGTAACTTTTTTTTAGACTGTACCAATTGACTCACTATTTACTGCTTTTGATTATTAATTGCTTTTGATTTTTGCGACTACGTAAGCAAGTTTATTTTCATATCATACCCCCCTGTATAATTGGTACCATTTACCAAAACAGTATGAAATAAATAAAATAACTGAATATCGATTCTTTTCATTATTCAATCATTCTTTATTGCCAGGGTCGATCGGTAAACAGTGGACGATTACAAGACTCGAATTCTGTGAATTAATGTGATACCGAAACTATTAATCATCGTAGATAGAAGGGCAATCACACACATCGTGTCTTCCTGCTTTGGCACACTTGGGGGGCTCCCCGTTGTAGTCATTTGGATATGCCTTCCGGCAGCCCTCCACCGAACACCCCTTTTCCGGTGTACAACCTGAAAATAATGGTAAATGGTGAAAAATTATTCCTGCCAAGGATTGATATTCTCGTCAGAAGATAATATTTTTTCAAAACGAATTTTTCCAGGACAGTCATTTTCAGAGAGTCCAAGTCTATCCTCAAAAATTAGAGTGATATTGAACAATCTGATTATTATGCTACATATGACCTTGACAAAATGTTCTCCGATATCTTCCAGATTTTACAAATTAGCGATTTTCTCAGGTAAAGAAAATTGGAATAATTCCAAATGTTAATAATTATTATTGGAGTTTCTTCGAGGTCATATGCAGAAGAATATTCTTATAGATCACCATAATTCTCGCGCTTGGAACTGATTTCGGAGCACCTGGAAATGACTGGCCTGGAGAAATACGTTCCAAAAGAGCTATTTTCTTCTACTAAGAGCATGAAAAAGATATCACCAATAACATTTTCTTGGAAGGAATAAATTTTTTTCTGTGTGGCGTTGAAGCGAGTGCGACCCAGTGAAAAAATCGCAAATATGATATCGCCCAACATTTGATTATCACTCAAAAAAAATTAATTTCAATCAGTAGTAATACCCCAAGAGCTTCAAAATTATCGGGTATTTCCTGATAGCTTCGTTGCAAATAAATGAAGGTGTCAAGTTTTGCAGGTTAAAAAATCCCGAGCGATTGCGCGAGGGATTTTTCTGCAAAACTTGGCACGATGGTTTGTTTGCAGGGGAGCTTGAAGGAAATACTCGATTAATTTTGAATCTCGAGGGGTATTTGGCGGATTATTTTTCCCAATTGGATTTTGGCCAAGCAGAGTGCAGTGGACAAAATCAGAAGGTGAATTGGGGAAGATTTGAACAAATTATATTAATAGAATAACCCGATTTCCATAGACTGTCAAATATAAGATTCTATATGAAATGAGCTGAAAAAATGAAGAGCTATTGCGAAATATTCCGGTAAAAAAATTAAGAACTACTGGGAAATATTCAAAAGCTAGGAGGAAATATCCGAAATAATGAAACTGTCGGGTAGCCTCAAATACTGCGCTCTGATTGGTCGAAATCCGATTGGAAAAAATAATCAGTAGAAGAAGTACTTCTACCCACTATCAGGGGTTTTTGGGGAAAAGGCAGATTTTTTACTTCTCGAAGTCACAAAAGAACTGGTGAAAAGTACTTCTGTACTTGTCACAACTACTTTTGTTACTCGGGACAAGTAAAATAGTACTTGTACTGAGTACCTGGCTGGTTGTTTTCAAAAGTACCAACAGAACTCAATATAAGTAGCAATAGTACTCATAATTTTTTGTCAGAAATTCATTCAAGATCAGAAATGAAGATCCAAATGTTGGAGCACAAGTGAACACAGAAAAATCTGAAGGTAAAATACGGTTTTGAAGTGGTAATTAACGTATTCAAAAACGTAATTTACGATTTTTTCAAACGGGCAAATTACGCTTTTGAGATCGTAAATTACGGCCAGAATAACGTGAATTGCGATTTCAAGAACGTGAATTACACAATCTACTGATTTTTTCCTACAAAATATCTTCTCCTGAATACTTCTATTCACAAAAATGCGCCAGAAAGCTCATTTTATCTGTCGATAATATTCGCTTTTCTCAATGAAGTAATCAATTGAAAGTACTGAAATTAAGTCATAAAAGTACGAAGTTAAAAAATTACTTTTCACCCGTACAAGTTGATACTTGTCAAAATTACTAAAAGTACTAGCAGAAAGTAATGAAGCTACGGAAATAATCATGTTTTGATGAAAACTTTATTGTCTACAACAAAATTGATTCAACACGACAAAAGATCTCGGCAGAACTAATTTTTTCTCTCAGTGTTCATTCGTTTGCAAGGAAGCTCTCATGAAATATCCGACCATTTTTAAGGTCTCGTGGGATTACAATCGATTATTGCCTCGACACATCAATCATTGATAGTTATTAATTGTTCTTCAAATAATCATATTATAAACTTTATTTGTACTGAGAAGATATAACTTACCGTAGATGGTTGCATTAGACACTGCAATGTAGATCATCGCGAATATAGAAAGAGCCAGGAAAATTTTCAACTTGCAGCTGACCATGGTGATGGAGAAGAACGTAATATTGCGTCGGCGAAGGAAAGTATGAATCACTTTGTCGAGGGTCTACGACAAAATGCTTTGACGATTCCATAAAAATGCAGCTATAGAGATAAAAGTGCGGTAATTTGACCAAGGTTCTATACCTCACGCGAACCTGACAAGTTTGCATGACCACTTATTGTTGATAACGATTCGTTATCAACTCGTTCCCCTCGTTTCATATTCGAATAGTGAGAGTTACCGAAAGTTGTAAACAACATTTAGTTATTATTTTGATCGTAATAAAATGGAATACTCTCCTGAGTCGAGGATTTGGTTCTGATTGGACGGGCACAGGTCTTTTCAAGATCTCTTTAGACCTAGACCTGGTACGTCCTAATCAGTTCTGCGACGTAGTTTTCCGGAGATCTTTCGAATCCTCAGTTCTTTTCGGCCCTGGGAAGTCCTGTTCGATGCTACCTAGACCTTGGGATTTCACGAGGGGGTGGAGGGGGAAGGCATGTATGCGGAGGGTTGAAATTTGTACCCAACAAGGAGAGAGGGTTGCAGAATATATTTTAGCCACCCTTATCTCTCCGTTTGCATGCGGCGTTCAAATAAAAAATAGTGAACGTTGATTCTGTATTTATTGACCTCTCTAATCCCAGTGAAACTCTCGGAGGCGCCAGAAATGTCGAAATAAAAAATTCGTTTTCCGTCCCGGCGGGCGCAAAGTTACATTTCCCTCCCGCTTCGCGGGAGGGAACTCTGACTTTGCGCCTACGCCGAGACGGAAAATCGCGTTCTAACCACGGGAAGTAAAATAAAGGACCCTCAGCCGCGTGCTTACCAACCTCGCCTTCGGCTCGGCTGATTGCACTGGCGGCTGAGGATCCTTTATTTTCCCTCCCTAGGTTAGAAATATACTATTCTCACCCGGAGCCAAAGTGTCAGATCTTGGAATTTTGCCGAGGGAAAGTCGACTTTCGCCAAAATTGAATTTTTCCGCCAAGTGAGGGTCGATTCTGCATCTAGTGGTGATTCTGATGCCAATGATACCCTTGGAGGTGGGGAAAAGGTCGAAATAAATTTTTTTTTTTCACCCCGGGGCCAAAGTGTCAGATCTTGGATTTTTACCGGGGGAAAGTCGACTTTCGCCAAAATCAAATTTTTTCGCCAAGTGAGTTGGTTTCGAATTTATTGACCCCTTTAATGCCAATGAAACTCAGAGGCGCCAGAAATGTCAGAATACAATTTTTTTTTTACCCGCGGCCAAAGTTCAGATCTTGGATTTTTCCCCGAGGAAAGTCAACTTTCGCCAAAATCGATTTTTTCACCAATCGAATGTTGATTCCGAGTTAATTGGCCGCTTTAATGTCAATGAAACCCTCGGAGGCGCCAGAAGTATCGAAATAAATTTTTAAATTTGAAATGTCATAAGATTATTCCCCTTAATTTTCACAATCGCGGTCAAGAAAGGACCACAACGAGAAAAGCAGTCTTATCAGTTATCCTCAAAAAGAAGAGAAAAAACGGTGGTGTGGAGAAGTTGGTGAGCTTCTCATTATTCCGTCATGCTTGATGAATTGTTACAACAATGCGGTTATTCAGAACATTCAGACGTTTTTACCACAATCCGCTTTGGCACTTCACGCCGTAACAGGTTCGCCGGGGAACGATTCATGATGATTGTTATGAAGTCCCTCGCAATAATGATGAAGAATAATTCGGATTACGTCGTACGATATCAGGCTATCTAACGCCCGATAGATTTGGCAATTCGATCATCAAATTTGTCAATGAAAGTGTGCGCAAGCAATTTCTTTTATTTTCTTTTTTTTTCTCTTATAATTAAATAATGAGAATTGTTAAAACTTTTCAAAATCTACTTTAACGTTTCGTTTTTTTCTTATATTTTGATATGTTGATTTATTTTATGTTCTGAGAATTGAAATATAGCAACATGATTTCTTCTTGTGGTTTTATCGCCTCATTGTGGCAGGGGCACGTGCCCAAACAATATGACTTCATATTTATATTTATATTATATTTATTTATATTTATATTTATATATATTTTATATATATTTTTTTTAAATATTTGTCTTTTGAGAAAATTCCGATGAAGTTTTCCGTTCCTCAATACCTGAAATACAGTTTTCCTCAGTCGCTCCGTCATTTTTGGACCCAAACATCTGATTATTATTGCGCCAAAAAAAAAATCTCAAGGAGGCCATTTTTTTTTGCAGAACTTTCAAATTTGGGTAGTGTCCCCCCTTAATTTCCGTGGGATAACTCATCTAAAAGTAGTTAATAAAATGATGAATTTTCATTCAATAGTAAAATTCAATTCCTTGAAATTTCAATTGAAATTATCACTTGATGGATGTTTTCTAGAAGTGCGCTATCTCTTGAAAATTTGTCGACAAAAATTCAATCACCGAATCAGAAGGAAAGTTGGAACAGTTTTCTAAAGGAAAGACAGCTGGGCTCAATGAAATAAATATCGATTGTTTTTCCATTACTCAATCACTTTTTCATTGCCTATACACTCTAAAAAAAGATTAGTGGACTCTGGTTAGAGTCGACTGTTTTGCGGGATAGGGGAAGCGAATTCGGAGAATTCGACTCTATTTCCCTGCCCCCACTACGCGCTCACGCCGAGCCCGACTTCCGAGAACTACGAACGATAAAATGAAAATGTGTTTACTCTCCGGCTTGTGTGGTGGCAGAGTGGGGGAAACGCTCGAGCGGCGAGAAAAAAAAATTGAGGGGAAGTTCGACACTAAACAATATGCCTCTAACCAGAGTCCACTGTACTTCTGATAAGTAGGAAAACTACTTGTATTCAGTACCGAGGGGTTTCTGGAGAAAAGGTAATTTTTTTACTTGGTTCAAGTCGAAAATCGACTGAATACAAGTTTTATGCTCCAAGTACAATTAGTACTGGTGACAAGTACCAACTGTTCATCATCAGTACTAAAAGTACGTGTACTGAGTACCAAGCTGTACTTCTCAAAAGTAGAAAAAATACTCCAGACAAGTAGTAATAGCACTCAAATCCAGTACTAATGGATTTTCGCGGAATATTACAGTAAAATTTATCATACACTATAGNCTTGTGTGGTGGCAGAGTGGGGGAAACGCTCGAGCGGCGAGAAAAAAAAATTGAGGGGAAGTTCGACACTAAACAATATGCCTCTAACCAGAGTCCACTGTACTTCTGATAAGTAGGAAAACTTCTTGTATTCAGTACCGAGGGGTTTCTGGAGAAAAGGTAATTTTTTTACTTGGTTCAAGTCGAAAATCGACTGAATACAAGTTTTATGCTCCAANCAACTGTACTCATCATCAGTACTAAAAGTACGTGTACTGAGTACCGAGCTGTACTTCTCAAAAGTAGAAAAAATACTCGAGACAAGTAGTAATAGCACTCAAATCCAGTACTAATGGATTTTCGCGGAATATTACAGTAAAATTTATCATACACTAGAGATCGCTGAAAAACGAAGAATTAATGCAAATAAAATTATTGTTTATTGTTCATTTGCCCCTCAAACGTTTGAAAATTGAAATATAGTCCAATGTAATAAATTCTCGAGCTACAGAGATTTTTTTTTCAAAATTTTTCAAAAGATGTGTAGAATAACAATTACCAATTAATTTTTCCAAATTTAATTTCCAAATAGTCCTTTTTTTAATAACAAAAAATGTAATATTCATGCGAAATAGCCAGTAAAATGATCCTCAAAATAATTGTTATATTTTATATTGAAAAAAAAATTGAAGTATTAATCTTTTGAGCTATCTTGTATAAAAATTGCAATTTCGTTATGCGACAAAGAATAAAATTGCCTATTTAGAAGTCGAATTCAAAAAAATTATCTCGTAATTGTTATTCTACACATCTGTTTAAAAATTTTGAAGAAAAAATACGTCCGTAGGTCAAAAATTGAGTACACTGTGCTATTTTTCTTCATTTTCAAGGTCTTGGGGGCAAATCAACAAGAAATAATCGTTTTTTTCCCCACTTATTCTTCGTCTTTCAACATATATAAATAATCGATCATCAATGTGTAATAAATCTTACTGCAATATCTCGCGATTTTGAAACTCATCGTAACCTCCCCTTGATGAAATTTGTTAATTGTCATCTGAGAATGATAATGATAATGAGAATGATAATTAATGATATGAAATTCCTCAACAAAATAACCAACCAAAAGTACTGGAATCAAGTCATAAAAGTACTCGCGAGAAGTAGAAAAATTACTTGCTCCAAGCATCAAAGGTACTTGTGAGAAGTAAGAAAAATACTGACAGGAAGTAATAAAAGTACTTCCTCCTAGTACTTTTCCTACTTGCTTAGCAAATATTGTACTTCACCCTAGGACATGAAAAGTACTTGGGACAAGTAGTTTCCCAACTTTTCACAAGAAAACTTCTCCCAAGTAGAATTCAGTACTAGTGAGTAGTAACTTTTTTTTAGAGTGTACCACATGAAAACAAGAGCAATTTCCTCCTTGTTTTCGTGTTCCGCTGAAATGTATGAGAAAAGCAAAAAAACCGCGGATACGGCTAACGGATATCCTTGACGGTGAAAATTGGTAAAAGAAGATTGCATTAGGAATTCTCGTTGTCGTAATGTCTAGCCTCTTTCCATACATTCTATGATTGTTTCATCGTGTAAACTGCTCACAACCGTTCACATCTGTTGCTTTCACCGTTACTGATACCTATATGCTCATTTCCCCCTTGCCGCTTGGCAATTTCATGACGTGCCATTTTCCGCGGAATGGTAAGACTGCGAGGAATACTCACAATTCCGTCGTTTACGCTTTTGTTTTCGTATTGTCATGCCATTAGGGGAGGGACTGACTCGTCGTTATCGCAGAATAATTCAAGTCATTCTTGTACCTTAAAAAAACGTTATTACACCCTCCGGGCTGAGAATAATCTCAATCCTCTAGTTTCATTTCGTGATGCAGGAACATTAGGAAATATCGGGAATTCGACGTATCGAATGGAATAATGTCTTTTCAATATTCATAGGTTCACGTGAATGTTCGCTAATGGAGCCTAAGGCAAAATATAATGAATACACG